GTGGAACAAACACATATATGTCGTTTGATGTACGTGATTGTCTATGGTGTAAACTCATTGATTATGCAATGAAGTACAAAAGAGAATCAACTTCGTTGTAAAAAATGCCAGGACTGGTACCAAAAAACCAAGGAAGCTTAGAATAAGGACGAAATTGTAGATAATTTCTAGTCCCATAAGTTCCTCAAATTTGACATATATATACATATCATCCAGAATCTCTTGCTCAGTAGAGCAATGCCAAGGATAAAAATTGAAGTTCTTAGGTGAATCTGTGTACATTTCCTGACAAATAGGAGTAGTTGTCAGAAAGAAAAGATAGTGTCTCAATCTCGAAGCATTGCGGCTCTTTGTAGCGTGTAACTTATGCTTGTAAAAATGCAATGCAATTGCTGGTTTCGACAGACTCTTTTGTCGAGTATGCTTAACCCATCCTGCCATACGGCATCCGTTTCCTCTCGAGAATGAATGCTTCTGTTTATGTTTTGAGCTAAATTTGAAGTCAGATGCACAGCTGTTGTAGCAACAGTTTCACTCTGCCACAAAAGACTTCGTGTCTCAAGTCTATCAGGTGTCAACTATCACCTAACCTTGACAACATTGTATCGACTCATATAGCATAGGTTTTCAACTACTGATAACAGACCCTTGACTACATCAGCTAAATTACAGAAACAAACCGGAAATTAAGCACATATTTTAGTGGAACCCATCTGGCTATATCCTTCGCATTTCCTTGTATAAAGTTTACAGGTAGGATTGAAGCCTAAGATTAAGTAAATTATGTTGAAAACATGTTGATTAATTACAATAATGTAGAGAAGACACCAAAATCAGCCCCCCAAGTATCAGGGGATTTGGTGCGGGACTCAAGACAATTTGATTAATCACAAACATTTTCTGCTTTGTGGAAGATGAACAAGGATTTCAGTCGTTCACCCCCTTGGAATTTCTGGTTGAAATTCTTTGTTAAATAATGTGTGAACTTAGCAATTATCTCCTTCCTTGGTTGGTGATCACGGACCAGCTATCATATCTTGCACATCAAGACAATAAGGGACAAGAAGTTTAGTCAACGGGGAATTTCGGACGTGCTTCCCTCAATACACGATAACTTTTCAAACCCTGTATCTGCTAAGCCAACTCCTTGGGGTCCTATATTTTGCGATTTGTTAGTTGATTTTTTTATTCGTTGCTTCTCCGCGTTTACAGCCAAGTAATGAGCCAACTCTACCCTCATTTGCCTTAAAATAGATTTGGGTACTTCTATCAGATTAACATATCTAATTTTGATGAACAAAATTCATAATTTCTGGATTAGTCCCATCGCAATGATGAGGCAGTACGTAATTTGGAGATGAAAGCACTGGTGATTGCTACTTGCTAGCCAGGCCACTGACAAGTGGCAATCTGGCCGATAGACAACTCAAAATCACTATTTTCACCAAGTCATTCTCAAGAATTAGAAACGAAATGGAAATGCTGTTGCTTAAAGAATTATCCTTCGTTCTTTTGGCTGTAGCACTTCTGAAGGTCTGCTATGGCAGGCCTTCAGACAAACCCATGGAAGGTTGTGGGGTATGAATTTATGATTAAAATACAAGCAAAAACTGGAAAATAATGAGTTCTTGAGTTTGACTTATCTATTTAAGTACAAAAAAGTCTATATTAATATGTCTATGGATGAAGAGACAGCACGAAATATGACCCAGCAAAGTGATCTCATATTCTGTCATGGATTGCGTGATCATGGCATCTTATTGCCTCATCATTCATCAGGATTAATAATTGCTGTTTGAGATCCGTACTTAAGTTTATTGGAACTAACGATTTGAGTTTAAATAATACAATAAAAAGATTATCTTGTGATCTGCACTGCTTCATTTTTCTGACTTGATCATTGAAAGATCATTGTTTGATCTCTCGATTTGAGTTTCAGAGACTTGAAGGCTCTGGAATTTGGTCTGTTGCTGCATTAACTCAACTTGATCTGCTGGTGCCTTGGTTTTGAGAGGCTTAATCTCCTTGACATATCACTGAATTATGACTTACAAGACCATAAGAAAGATTCTTGTTTTGACCCAACTAGGCATCTCCAAACAAGAAAATGTAAATGTTGTCAAAGTGTTCCCTTTGTGTTTCTCTTTTTGAGATCCAATTAGAGCTTATCAATGCTTTATACGTAAAAATAAATAAATTGCATTCCCATTAACTTGTTAATATATGTGTGAAAGGAATTTCTCTTTCTCCCTACATTACTAAAGAATAAAAAAAAAACCATACAAGTGGACCAGAGAAACCCCCAAAAGAGAGTGTTACGGTAGGACTAATTCATGCCAATTTTTAATGAAATAACCAGATATTTGGCAGCCATTAATGCATGCCACTGCATTTGCCTGCAAAGTCAACTTCATTAAACCCCCTTTTTTGCATCAATTTCCACTTGAAGAAGGGAACATTAACCGCAAATTTGTCAAAAGAGTAAAGACTTTATGCATGCTCTCATCAACAACTACAGAAATTTTCCATTGAATCCACTGCTGAGCATCCGAAGTGGTAATCGATGGAATAAGATACCTACCAACAAAAACTCTGTTCAATGCGCATGCAAAGCTCTAACCTCCCACTAACTGCCAAATAGTCACCTTAATTTTACCCCCTTTTTTTTTTATCTTCCTATTCGTAATCATAAGCACTCCCAATATAGTGTTGGTTGATTTTGCCTTTTTAATTTATGGACATTTACCATCTTCATTAGCATCGTGTGCCACTGTTTTTTGGGCTTTGATTCCTGCGAATCTTCCGTTTTCACATTGGTTTCACATTCACTTCTTCTAGATACAATTAGACCACTTAATATGTCACCTAATGACAAGATCATCAAGATTGATTGGCTCCCTTCAAATTTACATAGTTATTATAGTAATTACATATTACTTATAATATACATAATTTTATTTATAAACTCAAAGCTTATCTCATCTCTTATTCAAATGAATTCATAATACTCTACCTACCTAATTGTGCAAGAAAGGCGTTGTACGAACTCTTTTACCCATATAAGAGAAAGGTATTATTTTGATCCGGATCTACTTCGATTTTGATATCTTTCATAAGAATTAATATCATTTGTCATGAACCAACTTTCTAACTCAAAAAATATAATTATTAAGTAAATGAAAGTTCTTACTTATAATGTTTATATCCATTTCTTATTATTGTGAGATCCATAACACATGATTGATTATGTACATAAACGTTAAACTCTCTCTCTCCACAAAAATGTAAGCTTCTAGTAATACAATTTGAAGCCATACGATTTTGTTTACTAGAATAAGTAGAATTGAAGTGAAAACATATAGAAACCAACTAATTATTCTTAGATATATGTTTATGAAAATTTAAGGGAAAAGGGGACCCAAAACCTTAGAATTTAATTCTTTTAAAGAAATGTAATAATACTAACCAATCAAAGATTATTGGAATCTCTATCCCATGTTCAAATTTCTTACCAACTCAATTGAATGGCAAGCATGTATCCATAGTCATTGATTTTTTTTTTTATTCAAAAAAGAAAAGAAGAAGCTCAAGTCGTGACCTTCGAATCAATACTAGTATAACTTTGTTGACTACAATTGTCGGTCAAGTTAAGATTCCCAACGAAATGCCATGATTCATGGAGGCTTATTAGAGGCTTTTCTTTTTATATATATATATTTTCACAAGTGGCAGGCAAAGACCCTTGTCACATTAATTTCCTTCTCTTTGGTGTAGAAAATGCATAATATAAAATAGTATAATTTTTCAATTCCTCTTTCTTTCAACTAACTGATTGATTATAACAACACTAGATTTAAAGTTAATAAAGCGCATAGAATTATTCATGTTCCTCATCATCACCCCATCATTTGGCCAACACTAAAACTAGTTTCCATGGGGAAGGTCCAAAGTACACCATTCTGAAACTATAATTAATTCTCCTAAAAATATATAAAAAAAATCTCATATCTAACGTCATTCTTATGTAAGAAGTACGTACGAGTGGTTGGGCAGGAGACAGTACAATCGACACCTCTAACACTTAAGTTCAATTTGATACATTTATTTAAATTAAATACATCCTTTTGTCGCATTGGTTTGTACGAAATTAGCTTTTCGAGAAATTTATGGTTAGGCAGGATCAAGTCCAATCGGAACCTATAATGTTCGAGTCAACTTGATTCATTTAATTGAATTAAATTTATTTAATAAACAAGATCCCAAACGTTAAATCATGTCCTAGTTCTGTCCCGACCCAACCGGTGGTTAAGTCTGGCCTATTTGGCCTTTAGGTGTAGAGCTTTATCGAACATAAATAGCTGCATAGATTGGATCCGGAGATCGAAAACTGCATGGAGACGATCATTTCCATGCAACTATGGCAACGTCGTAAGCCTAAAGCATATCTGCTGTTTTATGGGCCGAGAGGCCCAACTGAAGCCCACAAGTTAACGAAAAGCCCGAAGCATGCAACTATCAATCTCTTGCAATTTACTTTTCTTTTTTAATTAGGGGTAATTGAGATTTAAATTTTTTTAAATCAAAAAATTATGTATCAATTATTGAATCAAATATTTAGGTATATTATTATTTTTCTTTCAGTTACACCTATATAATTTTAAACATAAAAATTGTTAATATAATTACACAAATTAATTAACAAAAGTAAAAGTAATTTTTACACCTGTACCTGCTCTTAAACGAAAACCTCCTAAGAAAAGGAAAGAAAGAAAAGGCAGATGGCCAAAAAAAAAAAATTAAAGAGGTATAAAATTGAAGAAATAAAGAAAAAACCATCTCTGTTTCTCTGTAAAACAGTTTGGACTCCTAGATTAGGAATCCAGCTTCGACTCACTAACGACTGACCTGTAACATCGAAGCAACATTTTAAAAATAACTCCTCTCCCTCTTGTGTTTTTTGTGTTTTTTCCCTGATCAATGATCAAACTTCTGTCAAACAAATGGTTTTTGTCGAATTTCCAATCACAATTCAGAACCTAGAGATGCCGTCCAATAAACAAAAATGCAATAAGGGCAAGCATTATTATCATAAAAGAAAGCGTTTTCCAGGGAAGATCAGTTCGGTCTCCATCATTGCATCGATAAACAAGTCCATTGTCAAGTGCCGCGATCAGCTGAACAAGTTTTTATCCGAGCTAGCGCGCATGGTAACACCAACATGCCGCCTCAAGGGCTTCGAGATTCTTAGACAGGAGGAAAAGACCGACCTCGAAGCTAACAAAGTTTTTGGTCACCCTGGACTCGAACTTGAATCCGAAACCAGCTCCAACATTGTACCCCCAGTTCTTGTCATACACCGCAACCTGCTTCCTCCAATGGTTTCAGACAAAAAAGGGACGATTGTTCTTGATTTGGACGAAACCCTGCTGCATTCAAGCCTCTACCCGCCTCCACCAAGGTACGATTTCATAGTGTCAAGAAATATGGACGGGGTGACGATAAACTTCTACGTGTTAAAACGACCCGATATCGATGAGTTCTTGGAGACGATCAGCAAGAAATACGAACTTGTTGTGTTCACGGCGGGGCACGTAGCGTACGCATCGAAGGTGCTGGATACTCTTGACCCGAAGGGGCTTATATCGCACCGGCTCTACAGGGATTCATGCAAACAAGTGCGAGGGAAATTCGTGAAGGACTTGTCAGGGCTGGGGAGAGACTTGAGGAAGACTGTGATCGTCGATGACAACCCAAAGTCTTTTACATTGCAACCCGAGAACGGGATCCCCATAAAGCCGTTTGTTGGTGATCAGCTTTGGGACAATGAGTTGATGAAGTTGGCGGTGTTTTTTGAGACATGTAATGTCTTTGAAGACATGAGAGATGCCGTGAGCCAGTACCTCGGAGGGTGCTGAAGAATAAGGTGATCATATTTAGAAACCACAATGGTGCATGTCGGTTAACCATGATGCTGCATCAGCCCATTTCTTTTTGTCAAAATTTATATACTATATGGCTACTTGCTTCAAGAATGCTTTCTAGAGTGATAGGAGGTTCCTACAGTCATTGCATCAAGGACTGATTTTGCTTCTTTGTGCAAATTAAAGAGAAATGATACATTTACATCAACTTCTTTTGGCTATCTTAATTTTTTATTGGAGATTACAATGGCAAATTAAATTTGCATCATGTTAAACTTTGTTTGTTTAATTTTATAATTACCGATGTTAATTATTTAAAAATATCTCCAAAAATTTCAATCATGATAATGGAATCGATAGTACCACACTATATGATTTCCCGTGTTTAATTGTATTTATATACATCAACTAAGCTTGATTTCATAATTTAATCTTTAATTAAGTTTCAATCTTAAACTAACAATAAAAAGATATTAAGTATCATACTTATTATTTAAACTATGTATTGATAGAAACGTAAAACTGATCATATTCTTTTTTGAAAGATAATTTTCATTAAAGAAAGTGGGGAGAACCCCTCAATTACAAGAGGAAGATTTAAACAAAAAAGATAATTAACATGTGTAGATATCTCTCTATTTAAAGAGTTGAATTTGACATAAAGAAAAAAAAATCATTCTTTAACCAAAATACTTGAATAAATTATTAACAATTCATAATTTTTCAATGATTATTTTGAAAATTGAAAGATATTTTTGAGGGAGAAAAAAAAGTGTAAAAAGATTGTGGAAGATCAGCCAGACCTTGCCAAACCTCTCGGCGACAACTCTAAAGGGTCATGCCATGAGTGCTAGTGCACCTCGTGTTAGAACAGCTTCAGGACCCAACACAAGCCGTGCATTTGGTGACTCCACCCAGTTTTATGGGTTATCCTTACACTACGTGCTAGGCAAGCTTGTGCCTGTCCAGGTTCAATTTATAGGAATTGTGAGATTTTCTTAAATAAAGTAAAAATTAATTAGAGACAGATGAAAGATTGCAACTTCTCAATATCTATAAGTTCAGTTACTAACTTTGTTAGGTTTAGAAAGCATATTCTCGTTGTCATGCATTATTTAGCTGTTAATGACTAGCAGCAAACATAAAACCGAACAGAAAGATAGAAAACAAAAAAACAGACAAAACCCAACCAAACTAACTAACAACATTCCCCACTCTCACTACTAAATTCAATGTAAATCCAGTTCTGGCTTCCAACCCATAAATTCACCACTGTTGCACCGAACCAGGCTTCAAAACCTCCCAAACCCCTCCATCTCGACAGTTGAACCCATCGATACCCAGAACGAAGACATGTTATTGAAGATGAGCAAAAGGGTCCAACCAAAGACCATCATCCACCACCATCACCGCCTGCTCCACCACTGCCTCCACCGTGTCCGTCATCCTAAGGGAAGATCATCTACAACGAAAATTAAATCGCTCTTCGTGATTGCTTCCATAATAAGCAAGTCCATTCACGAATACCGCCGTCGCCTCATCAAGTTTTTCTCCAAGTTGGCACGCAGAAGACATCACCAAAGCCTATTATTCCTTGAGCAGGAAGAGACCCTCTTCGAAGCCGGCGATGACCCTGGACTTAAACTTGAATTCGAGAGCAGCTTTGCTATGCCTCTGGTTCTCGTCTTAAACGAGAACCTTAAGCTGCTTCCGCCATTGGCTTCGGATAAAAAGAGAACCATCGTTCTTGACCTGGACGAGACCCTGGTGCATTCAAGCCCTGACCCGCCTCCGCCACTGTATGATTTCACGATTAAACCGAATATTGATGGGGAAAGAATGAACTTCTACGTGTTGAAACGACCTGGGGTCGATGAATTCTTGGAAGCAATAAGTAAGAAGTACGAGGTGGTGGTGTTCACAGCAGGGCTCGAGCCATATGCCTCAATGCTGCTTGATATTCTAGACCCCAAAGGCCTGATATCTCACCGTCTTTATAGGGATTCATGCAAGCAAGTGAGAGGAAGATTCGTGAAGGACTTGGCCAAGATGGGGAGAGACCTTGGAAAAGTTGTGATCGTTGATGATAACCCAAAGTCATACTATTTGCAACCTGCAAATGCAGTCCCCATAAAGCGATTTGAAGATGACGTTGAAGACAGGGAATTGGAGAAGCTGATGGGGTTCTTCGGGAGGTATTGTGATAGCTTTGATGACATGAGAGATGCGGTTAAGCAGTACCTTGGGGGTGCCACAATGAGCACTGGACAGTGTTAGAGATCTATTTAATTCAACTTTGTATAGCCAAAAACAAAAAATTTTGCCAAATCTATTAGTCATATTCATTCATGCTTTATTTTTTTTTTTTATCATTTTCTCTCGTCTTAATATTATCTTTCAAATGAAAATCATAAAAAGATAAATGATTAATAGAGAAAAAAAAATTTTAAAAAAAGTGACGGGAGTAAGAGTTTTAAGAGTTTTTAATTTTATTTTTTAATTGATAATGTTTAATTTTATTCTTTATTTGAATACACGTAAATAATATATTTTTACACTACAAACATCAAATAAACACTTGGTAAAAGTTTATCTGTAAGTTTATCTATGGGACAGGAAAAGAGACCCAACATTTCGCTTTGCTGCTAATAATTGAGGGTGAGCTACACAAAATATAGCATAAGAAAATTATTATCTCTTAATTTTTCTTACATATATATTTTTTTTGTCTATGCATAAAATACTTTTTTGTCTATCCATGACACTATATGCATAAAATACTTGAATCCGTATATATTTACAATTTAATCTAAAAATTAATTAAAAAAAAAAGAAAAACAAAATTTTAATCATGTGTGAACCCGGTAGGGGCAACGGCACCCTACAGTTTACACTTTCGCTTAATTTTAACCCAAAAGATAAATAAATCCACGTAAGCAAAAGAAACCATCCTGTCGCTCACTATAAGTTGTCCAGCTTCGACTCCGAACCTAACTCCATGACCGTTAGACCGAACCAGAATTTAAAATATTACGGAGCCTTCCCGTCCGCGTTATTACCCAAACCAAAGGAAACCTCCTCCTCTTGTTTATAAATCTATGAAAACATTTCCTTCTTTGTTTTTCTCTCGCTGATGATTGTTCTGGATCGTCCGATTATAGTCCAGAGCCCTGAGATGGTTTCCAAGATTATCAAGAGAACTCCGCCACGGTCCATCAAACGCCACCGTCTTAACCACCACCGGAGAAAGACTTCTCCGGCGAAGAAGAATGCCTCGTTCTCCGTCATTGCCTCCATCAACAAGTCCATCAAGACGTGCCATCGCCGCCTTGTGAGGCTTTTCTCAAAGTTAGCCCACATAGCAACCCCTTCTACCACCAAACGCCGCCACAAGGGCTTCAAACTCCTTAAACAAGAAGAAGAATTTGATGAATTCGAGAGCAATTTCATTGTTCCTCGTGCTCTTGAATTCGACCGCTGCTTGCTTCCACCGTTGATTTCGGGGACGACAAGAACTATCTTTCTTGATCTCGACGAGACCCTGGTGCATTCAAGCCCTGACACACCTCCCAAAATGTATGATTTTGTAGTAAGGCCGAACATTGAAGGCCAATTTATGAATTTTTACGTGTTGAAACGACCCGGCATCGATCTTTTCCTAGAAGAAATCAGCAAGAAATACGAGGTGGTGCTGTTCACGGCGGGCGTCAAGCAATATGCTTCTCAGGTTTTGGATAAGCTTGATCCTAAGGGGTTAATATCTCACCGGCTTTATCGGGATTCGTGCAAGCAAGTGGAAGGGAAGTTTGTCAAAGACTTGTCTGAAATGGGGAGGGATTTGGGGAAAGTAGTGATCGTTGATGATAACCCGAATGCTTACTCTTTGCAGCCTGACAATGCTGTCCCCATACGGCCGTTTGTGGAGGACGGTGAGGATAGGGAGCTGGAGAAGTTGATGAAATTTTTTGAGTGGTGTGAACGGTTTGAGGATATGAGGGTGGCGGTCAAGCAGTACTTTAGTGGTGGTGGTAGCGGTGGAGGCAGCACTGGTGGTGCAGAGGATCATGGCTTTGTGCAGTTGGACTTATGATGCTCACTCTGTTTAATGTGATTCAATTTGTTCTCTTCTGATTTGTTGTAATTGTGTTTGAACAATAGATTTTGTTCAAATTAGAAATTGAAAATTTAAGATAATGCATTTTTTTGTTCAAATTCCAATTATTGTTCTCTCTTAATTTATCTTTCAGTTGTTTAATTAAAGGATTAAAGGATCCATAACTAGTTTCAAACTTTCCAGCACAAAAATCATGAAGTTTGAAAGAAAAAGTTCTGGCTACGACCCTTCAAGTTGATAAAGCTATTGCTGAAATTTAAACGTGTCTTTTGACCCTTTTAAGAACATTTGAAAATTATCTAGGCTGCTTGAAACTCCTTCCTACAGTGTTTAGAAGATGCTCTTCTGTTAGCCTACGGCCTGCTCTTTAAATTAATTCAACAAAAGCTTATCCTACCAGTGCTATGATAGTACTTCCCATTCTATTGTAGGATATCTCATCAAATATAAGGCCAGACGACCAAACACATTTGATGGTCAACACTGTAGTTTGAACAAATAGTACAACTTTGCGATTTTGATCTTTGTCCTGAAATTTGTCCTACAGTATCATCGCAAATATGTAAACCCATAATTGCAGGGTGTCTCCGTGTTCACCTTCTCCCGGTTAAACATTTCAGGTTTGTATCAAGGATTAGGTTGCTCATCAGTAAGCATGAATGAGGGGGGCATTTGTAGCTGCTTTGCGCATTTGTTAAAACCTTTTCTTGAAGTATGAGAGTTCAGTAATCTCTTCATCTGCCTTGCCAGATTCAAAAGGAGTGCGAGCTGGAGCACTCAAAACGTGCATATCATTGCTTAGAGACTGCCTTCTTAGTCCAATTGATCCAACTCTTGCTACTCTCAAGAAAGTGTCCTTTTTGATTAAGCAAGTGTAGGG